TAGGGCAGAGCCACGTGCCTGGAGCACATGGTCCTGCAGGCAGCCAGCCAGGGTTGCCAGGCCTCCCACAGGCGCTGGGGGGCTGGGCTCCAGGACAGCAGCTGTTTGCACACTCACAGAACAGCAGCTACTCACTGGGAATCAATGCTGCTGGGGTAACACCAGGGAAGCGACTTGCCCTAACCCAGAAGGGGAGAAGGGTCTGGCTGTGCACAGCAAGTGTGGGGCATGCTTGGGGAAAAAAAAAAAAGCATGTCCTATTTCTGCAGAGGAAAGAGGACTGGAAGAACAAACCCCTACATGGGGTGTGAGAGCCAAACCCAGATACGCTTTTCCCTGCTCTCACGCCACTGCCTTCACAAGGGCTCTACGCACCCTGCATTTGCTTTGCCATGCACAGTGACATGCTTTGCCACGTGTCATCTTAACGAGCCCTGCTAAGTCCCCACCGGGGAGAGACTATGATCTCCACTCTACTGATGAGTAAACTAAGGCTTAAAGAGGTTAAGAAACAGACATAGTAACACGGTGAAGCAATGGTCAGGCCAGGATGAAAACCCTGGCCCCCAAGTCCAGGCCGACCCTCCTAGCCTCCCAGTGGCCTCGATTTCTGTACCCAACCCCAATGCGGGCGACTGCTACCCTGTGCTTGGCATCAACGCAATGAAGCCAAGAGAACAGGCCAGCTTGTCCTCTACGGGGCCTGTGGAGAGGAACACCCTCCCCACCTCCAGAACAGAGGGGTCTTCTTCCCTTTGGTGAGGCCCTGATTCTGAGAATGAGAAGCGCTTCCACCATATATGAGGGGTGGTGAATGGCAGCTGTCACTCAGGGCGGCCCCAACCTGCTGTCCGTTTGCTGGATGGGAGAACAGATGACCTGCATGCCCTTCAGAGGAACTTTCTCTCATGGTTTCAGGAAAAGGAAGAGGACCTTCTTGACTCAGTAGGACCTTGGATGATCCCAAAGTCAGCAACCCAGAGCTCCGCTCCATCACCACGAAGATCCCACTCACAGAATTCTCCTTCCACTGTCAAACCTGGTCGCAAAGGGCAGCTGGCAGAAAGGGAACATGAACGCCACTCTGCAAAGGTATAGTGCGCTCTCCCCAACCCCTTCTCTTATGGTTCCCACTAACACCTGCTCTTCCGACATACGACCACGGGGAAGAGCTTTCATTTCACCCTGTGCCCAGCCCGTTCTGTGCTTAGAACTGGAAAGAGAGCCTTCTTCCTTCTTAGCTGAATGCAGGCCTAAAAGTGATAGGGATACCCCCAAGCTATTCAAAGAAAAACCACCAGAGGAGTCGGTTTCAAATCTAGCTTTACAAGCATAGGGTTTAAAAATAACCCTGCCTTTGTCTGCTATAGATGACTTTTCCTAAAGGGACAGCTGTCCTTAAACCAACTGCTCAATTCACAGGGCAAACAGATTTTCATTTTTCCTAGTACCTAGCACATACCTCCAGCAGGGCACCCCAAGTACCACCTCTGAGACCATCTGAAATGCAAACACACAATCATTCAGAACCACTCCCACCATCCCTGTTGGCCTGGGAACAGCCGGGATACTCCTCCTCAGACAGCTCAAAGCCTGGCAGGTAGCTACAGTGGCTAGGGGCCCTGATTTTCCCCTTCATGGAGAGGGTAGCCCAGAAATCCTGGCAATCACGCCACGATCACATCAGGTTTCCTTGGGTCCCTGGAGTATTTCTTCACAGACAATTGCATTTCTTTGGATATTTGACTTATTTTTGGATGAGGGAGCTAGACAGAGGAATTGGGTTGAGATGCACACAATAGGAAAGAAGGCTGGGGAAGGAAGCATCCTGGTAAGGAATTTAGAGAGTTCACGAGCACGTTCACCTTGTCATTCCAACACACTCTTGGCGTAGACTTCATAATGTATAATTTGTCAATTTCTGGTTTCATTTCCTTTCAACCAGGCAGATGGCACTAACAACACAAGGCTATTGAGCACAACTCAAAAGACGCGGGGCAAACAGCTGAAAATCAGTATTTGGTGTTTCACTCTACCATTACCTTCTAATTAGATCAATGACTTAGTTCTGTCAGCTAAAATTGCAGGAGGATGGGTATTAATATGCTATTTCTTTTTCGGCAACTACTATTTCTTTTCTTGACCTTTGTAAAAGTTCTGCACAAAGTTTTACAGGAAGTGAAAAAGCATCCATTGGTATGACAGGACCCGGAATTCAATCTTGGTTTTCCAGTTCAAGTTGAAGGTATGGGCCACTGGTTCTCAACTGGAAAAGATTTTATTCCCAGGGCACATTTAGAAGTGTGAGACCTTTTTTTTTTTACTTGTCACAGCTGGAGGGCAGGTCATCTTGGGGATAGAGGCAGGGATGGCATTAGATACCCTATAACGCTCAGGACAGCATCCTACAGGGCTCACCCAGGAATAGTGCTAAAGTTGAGAAATCCCAGTGGAGACTGAAATTATGCAGTTCCCAGAATGTTCAAGGCTGCATCTGTGATGTTCCCTTCTGAGGACTTATTTTCCTCAAGATTCACTTGGTGCTTCTATTCTGGTCACTCCTGTGAGTTGCACAGAATGATCAAGGACTTCCTCCTTTTTCAGTTTTGCTTGCAGTATACACCCATCAAGCCCACAGCCCTAGGGTTTCATCTTGCATCATAATCTTTACAATGATCAACATTATGTGAAGAGCAGAGTGTAAGTTTATCTGTACGGCATTTAAAGAAGAGCTTTACCACTGTTTCTTTTCTGTTAGGACATTGAATTTTCAATTCAAAGAAGAAAATTATTTTGAAGTATATTTCCATTATTATTATTATTATTATTCTATCGGGGCTTGAACACAGGGCCTTTGTTCTGAACTATATTCTCAGATCTCTTTTAAACAATTTTTTAAAAATTTGAGATGGGGTCTTGCTAAGTTACTAAGTCACCAAGATTGGGCTTGAACTTGAAATCCTCCTGCTTCAGCCTCCCAGAGTGCTGGGATGGCAGGTAAAGGAAGACATTTAAATAAAGACCTTATTTCTAGACCCTCAGTGTCTTCTCAGTGCTATGCCTTCTGCCATAACAAAAGGAGATCTTTGCTATGGATTCCAACTCTTGACTGGGGCACTGCAAAGTTTCTGAGAGTTATCGAGCAATACAGACTCCAGTGAACCCTTATAAATGACTTAAATCACAAATTCCAAAATCCTGACTTTTACTGTCAGTGGGAAAACCCTGATCCAGTAACCATTAGGCAAAATACCTTTATAGTTCCCTGCAGAGGAAGGTTATACAATGTGCATAATTCCTCCAGGAAGGTATTTCAGAAGATGAGGACTGAAATAGATGATGAAAGTTGACACAGATATAACAACAGCCACAGGTCCTTCGAATGCCATAACACCCAGGAGCACTGCTCCAGCCCTTTATACCTACTGCCTCTCATTTTCACAGTAATCTCACCACACAGATGCATGCCCTCTACACAAGGGAAGCTAAGGCTCCAAGAGGCCGTGTCATTTTCCAAAGCCACAAAGCTAGGAAGGGACAGAAGTCTCACTGTGCAGCAGAAAGACTGAGGCACCGATGCCCCACTCCCCGGGGATCTGCTTCCTCCCCCTGACTGTTTTCCTACTGGGAAGGGTCATGCCTCTGGGTGGTGGCTGTTTGTTCACATGGAGCAAGCAGAGACAGTGGCACCAAGCGTTCTCTGAGGCAGGGACAGTGGATCACACGAGGGAGCGTTTGCTCAGTTCTCCAGCAGTGGCCGCAGGACAGGACCTCAGTCCATGTGAGCCTGTGAGTTACCGCTGCCCTGCATTTGGGGAAGACATGACAGAGGTCTGAAAGCAAGAGCCATCTGAAAGGATGAACTTTAACTCCACTCCTCACATATCAAGGCGGGGGGATTCGCCTCCTCCTTTACTTTATTTCTTCCCATTTAAATCTCACTCTGTGTGTCACAGAAATTTCTGCATGAGCAGAGGACATGGAGTTGAGTAACCACCTTTAAGACAAGGGTCGCTTTGTCCTGCCGTCTTTCCCTGCAGTGACGGCCCTGCGCTCTGTGACCTTCCTGTCAATCTCTCAGGCTGAGCCTTTGTCCCTGGCTTCCGATGCACATGGAATGACCTTTCTTCCTGCTCATCTTGTACTCTAGGGTGCTAAAGACACGAACCCAGAGCGGCCCCGGCCTGTGTCTATCTCTGAGCATTCGGTGATGGGCTTTGAAGCACTTGTCTATGCAGATGATGCTTCTGGGTAACATTTCAGCATCGTCTATAGCTGACCTCGCACGCAGCCTTGCGGGCTGTGCTGAAGGTGGATTCGGTATGAAAACGAAAACAGAAGAGAAGAACGATTTGCTTCATAGAAACAGTAATGAGAGAGAGAGAAGGTGTGTAGTACTAAGAAGGAGGAGGCTGAGCCTCCTAAGTTAGTAGGAGAGCTTGCCTTTAGATTCTAGTTCTCAGTCAAAGATAAAACAAGATGAAAAATTATCTGTCCCCCACGCCTACTCTCATTTTCCCCCCTTCAGGACAGTGAAGAATGAAAGTAGGTAAACCAAGCCTTACAGAAAATCTACCCAAATCATCTGGCAAGATCTTATTATCTAGGCATCGGGGGAAAGAAGAAGAGGGATAGGAGATGAGACACCTGCTTAAATGATCCAAATCATGAGCTGTAGGGCGGTGTATCTTAAACTACAGTCCTTGGAGCAGCTGTCTCAGGGTCGGAGAGGGAGCTGTTTCCATTGCATGTTCCTGGGCTCTCACCCAGACCTGCAAACTCAGTTTCTAGGGCTAGATGCACAGTCTGCATGTAACAGACTCTCCAAGTGAGAGGTGCAGGTGCACGCAGAAGTGGGAGACTGCACTGGGGGTGAGCAGAACGCACACTAAAACCTCCCCAGTGCCAGGACATTTACCCCAGCCCCGCTTGGCTGCCCCACACAGCCAGCCCTCCCCTTCACCTTCCCTCCCAGGGAAGCGAGAGCCCCGGAAGTTTACCTGGTCTGATGGGGCTCTGCATACAGTTTGGAGACGGGATGCCGGGGTGCAGGGGTGCAGAGGCCCGGCTGCTGAGGTCCATGACCGAGGGGGCGGTGGAGGCCGCCGGCTGCAGGCCGGGCGGGTGGGGGCTGTGGTCGTGCTGGGACGGGCTGGGGGGAATGCCATTTTCCGACAGAAACTCCTCCAGGTCCATGTACTCCAACTGGAAAGTATCTCCATCGTAGGGAAGGGTTTTGTCCCATAAGGTGGGCCCCAAGAATGCCGACTGGGGGACTGTCGGGCTGTTACTCTCATCGTCCAGCTTCTTCTCCTTGTCTTTATCTTTGCTAAATGCTGCAGAAGAAAGGAAAGCTGGATTAAGAAAGAAAGAAAAAGTGTTGATCTCTTATCACCCTTGCCGGCCTCTGTTACTAAACTACTTCTTCCAGACACCAGGTTCTCCGGCTGCTGTCTTGTGTGGATCGAGAGGGTAAGTTCAGGCAGGACATGGATCTGTACCCGCTTTTCAACATCTTCCTATTGACTTTGGAAAGAAAGTGCTAGTCCGTGGGACAGGGCTAGGATAAAAATAAGAGAAGAATCTTGAGTGCATCGTTTGAGGAGCTAAGCAATTTAAACTGACAGTGGGAAAATATCACCTATGATCACATACAACTGCCGCGACTCTTCAGAAAACCACCAATAACCTGGCTTGCTTTATCTTCCAGAAATGTATCACAGTAGCAATATGAGATCCTTCAGATTTATAAAACCAGGGAGATGGTGCTCTTAATCTTGGGAAAGCAAGGACTCTCCCCCTTCTTTAATACCAGGTATCGAGTACCTAATATTATGCCCGATTCTTTCCATATATTATCTCAAAAAAATCACAGTAAACTTGCAAAAAACAAGCAATTATCCCCATTCCCAAGGAAGACATGGAGGCTCTGAGGAACCAGAGAAGAAAACAGAACTATCCGAGCCCATGTGTTTGCTTTGAAAGCCACCAGAGCACAGTGCCTCTTTTACAAAAGCAGTAAATCATGCCAAGTGTTTTTTCCTTTCTCCTCCCCAAACACCTAAATATTACCCAATTCACAAAAAGTATACATCTGTGCAGCCTGTCTGAAGCAGGGCTACTGGAAAAGGTGAATTACTCTACATACCTATGATGGAAGCATGCAGCTATGTCCTACCTGGAAACACTGTTATCCAGCTTAGGTCTGTAACAGCGCTCTGCCTTTTGCCAATTCTAGTACTCAGGCGTGGGTGGAATCTGGGATTAAGGAATTTGCTTCTGAGTTTGTTCCTCGGAGGAACAGCCTCCACTGCCATCCACCCTAACTAACCCTCTGCAGCTTCATCTGAGAATCTGACTTACAACACCCACAGACGCCAAGCCTGCCGGCAGCCCCTTCCTCCCAAGTGCCTTGCCGGGGGCGGCGGGGGGGCGGGGGTGTTCAGCTCTGTAGAACGCATCCAAACACCCCAACTCTTGCCATGCAACAGGTTGTCCACTTTTAGGAGAGAAGGGGAATAGCTATCTATCTAGTTATCTGTAGCCAAATAATCTCTTCAAACTATGCAAGGGCCCCGTGATTTGGAATTATCACCGTGATACCAACGCACAAAACTGCTTCTGCCCAAGTGGCAAAGGCGAGCGGGATTCGGCCCCGTGCCCCGAGGGGCCCCAAAGCCCTCCTGTCCTACCACAGCCCAGGTGAAGCAGGGGAGGTCTGCGACTTAACCAAGAAAGGGTTCAAGCCAGAGGAGGCTCCTGCGGGCTTACACGTGAGCCTGCTCCTCTCCCCTCCCTCCGGGAAAAGCGCACCGCCAAGAGCGCCCGAGGCGGCGCGGCTGCCGCCCCAGACCCCAACCCCTGCCTCAGTTGCCCTGCGGAAGTCCGGCTGCGACCCACACCTGGCCACCCCCAGATCTTGAACAGGAACAGAAGCAGCCCCACAATCCCGGCGCGGTCGGACCCTCTCCCTCCAGACCGGCGCCCCACACCGGGCCCCAAGATCTCTCCTCCCCAGCCCGGACCTCTGCCCTCCTGTGGGAGCTGCTCCGCCCCCCAGACCTGGCAAGTTTACCCGCCACCTGCGCCGCCGCGGGAGCCGGACCCGGGGCCAGGGCCGGGTCCCCAGTGCTGTGCTGTGTGGCTCGGGAAGGACGCCCCTCGTTTGGAGGAGCAGGAGGAGGGGAGACGGCTGAGCGCCCCGATTTCCGATCTCCCCGCGGGGGGCGCGGAGGGGCCCCGGGAGCGGCAGGCTCACCGTCGTCGTGGTGGAGGGGGAGCTTCAGCGGGTTCTCCAGCAGAGACCTGAGCACGCCGTAGGGAGGCGGGATAAAGGTGGGGTTCAGGGGGAGCTGTCGGGACATTTTCTCCATCGCGATGCACTCAGTTTGGGTTTTTGGTTTTTTTAAAGAAAGCTAATCGGTCCCAGAAATGTTGCAGCGCTCTTCCTCCGTCCTTTGCGCAAAGTACTCGCTTTCCAAGCGGTGCAGACAAGGGTAGAAAAAAATTTTTTTTGACTTTTATCTTTATAAATACATCTGCATAAAAAATATTAAAAGCCAAAAACAACTTTCGGGTTCTCGGTGCTCTCGTCCCAGGAGAGCGCGCCAAGTGCCCGCGGGCTCCTCGGCGACGCGCAGGATGCTCTCCCCTGCCTCGAAGCCCTGGTCCTGCAAAATGTTCAAAATCACAAATAAAAAAAGAGAGAGAGAGAGAGAGAGACAGAAGGAAAAGAAGACAAGGTAGGCTGCGGACGGGCAGAAGCGCCTCGCGGCCAGCCCCGCCCCCCGCCCCGGCTCCGCGGCCGCAGCCCGGGCTCAGCGCATCCGGCAGCCCATGTGCCCGGCCCTGACAAGAGTGACGTCAGGGCCCGCACCGCGCGCCGATAGGCGTGCGGGGGCGGGGCCGCCCGAGATCACGCCCTCCCGCCACGCCCCGCTGTCGCCGCGTGTTTAGCAGCGTCGCGCGCGCAGATTTTCGGAGACCTTGCAGAGCTGGCGGTGCCAGCTTTCATGGGCCGCTGACCCGGGCTCAGGACTTTTTTTTTTTTTTTTAAAGAATGGGAAAAAAATTAATTTTTATTTGTAGTTTTCAACCCGAGAAGGAAAGTGGGGAGTTTGAAATAACGCGATGCCCAGGCACCCTTCTCCATCAATTAAATTAGACCCTGTGGGGTGATACTCAGGCTTTAGTCGTTTTCAGACCAACCCAGATGGTTCCAAAGAGCAGCCAAGTTTGAGAAAGACGGGTTTAGAATGACTTGAAGACAAGACTAATAAATATTTCCCCTGGCCCCAGCCAAGCTCAGCGCCTTCCTCTCTGCTCTGTTCCCACAACTCCTCAAATGCAACCTCTTGCTAGAAGTCTGAGCCTGGAGCAAAAAAGCAGAGAAGGGTTCCAGGCGTGGAGTCCCTCACACCACACCGGCGCCACTTGATGGGGGGGGGGGGCGGCTCTGAGAATGAATGGGCGAGATTAAAGAAAACTTCATTTCAGGGAGACACAAAGGCCTTTGTGACCCTTGGCCGAGTCCCTGGAGTGGGAGAGGGCGACAAGCAGGGTTTATTTTCCTGGACCCCACTCCACCCCCAAACAGAGGCGTTGGAGCCCAGGTATCTGGCAGTCAGGAGAACAGGAGGCCTGCAACGGGGTACAGAAGGTCTATCTTGAGCTCTACTGTATGTCTGTCAGTGACTACGCCAGGACAGCTAGATGCACATGAACAAAACCTAATTCTAAGCTTAGAACTCCTAGTGTGGGGTCTGACATGTACACAAACATAAAGAACACTTAAAAGAACAATGGTAGATGGAGAGAACGTGGGCCCTCATCATGTGAGCCGGGCTTGGTTGTAATGTTCTCTCAGGAACTTTACCAAATCCTTCAATTCTGTCATGTTGTTTTTCATAATAGAAGGGACTGTCTTGCCACTGTCCTTTCAGAGAGGTGGAAAGGTATGTCCCTGCCTTGATTGCCCCCATCCCGAGGAGCCCTGCACTAGGACAGGCGAGGCTTCCTGTTCTCCTTCACTGATGTTAGGGCACACAAATGCTCCAGGCTTCCGGCTTCTCCCCCTTCTGCCTCCCTGCCTCCTGCTTCTAGGCTGGCAATGTGTATTAGTTCAAGCAATCTGGTTCAAGTAATCTTTTTCTCGCCACCTGAGAGCCTAGCACTGTAGCTGGAAATGACATTTCTCATTGCAAATGGATCAACTGGCATTGCGGTTGATCCATGAGCCTCTCGGGATTTTGGTTCATATAATCCCCCTGAGCTGATCAATTCTAGATGGAGGCCCAGCCCCTTAGACCATGGCAACTTCTCCTCCCTCCTCTCAACCTCAGCCTTCTCTACTTCAACTGTACTTACTTGTGTCTTATAATTATTCCTCATATAAAGTAGGATTTATTATTAATTTATGAAAACAATGGAAAAGCAAACTGGACTTATGAAGTTAGAAAAGCTATCTCGGCCAATTAACTGTCTATGTGTATTAGTATATGTTTGCAGTGTATAATAATTACATTCCTCTTGGGGCATTGAAATAGATACATATTACATTTCTATCATCATTTCTTCCCCTTCCCTCTTTCCCTGTATCCACTACAGAGTCTGCCTTTCTATTTCCTACCATCTCCTTTTATTTTTCCCTTTATATTTTTCATATTTATGGTCTCTCCTCTTGAAGAAACCTTGCAGTATTTAACCTCTGTGTCTGATTTATTTCATTTGGTATTATGGAATTAAGATCCAGCCATTTTCCTACAAATGATTTAAATTTATCATGTCTTATGACCATTAGTTAGTCCTCCAACTAGCCCCATCCCTTAAGATAAATGAAGTTGGCACATCTTTCCTACTCTGGGTATGTTTCTATTGATACATTTTAGGTTATTTTTCATTAAGCTAGCCCCTGCTAGGTTACCACAAGGAGCAGTAGATGGCTACCCACATAAGAGGGAGGGGAGTGACAGCAGAAACCTAAGGTTATCCTACTTAGATAATAATGTTACGCTGTTTTTCATAAAAGAAGGGAGTCCCTCGGTCCAATTCTCAATGGACACAAGAGGGAAAATCAACATGAAATGGAACCTGCAACTCTCCCTGGAGTTGAGAGCCCCACATCAATGATCAGCCTTTGTCATTTACAAAGCCCCTCCTCGAGTGTCATGTTACTCTGTCCAGACACTTCCACGAAGGCAGCAGTAATTCTAGTTTTCCATTGTTGTGTTCACTCCAAAACCTAGTGGCTTACAAACAACAATCATTGTTTTATTTCTCACCATTCTGCACTCTGGTGAGTGAGGCTTAGCTAGGATGCTGGTCTGTCTGGCTTTCTCTTTCTGACCACACAGTGACAAAAGCTTTTTCTTTTCACGTGACCTCCTGACATCCTTCTATATGTTCTGTGCAGCAGAGAAGTCAAATTTCTTGCACAATAGCTCACGGCTGCTAAAAGCCAGCCTTCCTGGATAACCCTAAGTGGTGTTGCCTGGTAAGCCCTTACTTGCTAATGTTCCTCTACCTGAAGAGAGGCACATGGCCAAGCCTTGAGCCAAGATGGGAAGGGACTACATGGCGAATGGAAGTTGGGTGGCATAGTTCGCTGGGGATCACCCAAATAACCATTTGTTCAGTTATTTTTATCTTCACACGGAAGCAAATGACATCAGAGCATTTATCAAACATCAGTGGGACCAAGGTCTTCTGTCAGTAAGTCCAATGTGTCACTGGTTGAGTAGATGTCTGCTCATTCATCTAATACCAGTTCAAAACAATCATGTGTGCAACTCTGAGTGGGATACAAAGATAACCAGACACACAGAGAGAGCATATCAGATGGGAGCTCACGGTGTAGGAGGGGAGATGTGACCATAATGCCGTGTTAAAAGTGACATATTCTAGAGGACTATAGGAAGAATATTGAAGAGATGTAAAGGATAAAGAGACTTGTTTAGAGAAGAATCTTTACAAATGCCTGAGCCTTTCCTTTCTCCAAGTCTTTACTGGTGTTGCTCGCTTCCTAGCCCCATCGCTGGCTTCCACACGTGCTAATTCTTGGTGTCCTGGTCTGAGGAACCCTGCTGATTGCCTTCTTTCAACTCTTCTGCTGGCTTTTCAAAGATGGAAGGATAGCAGAGGCTCCTGAGATCTGGAGCTATTCTAAAAACAAGAGTAACTATAGAAAGAAATCTTTTTCAGAATCCATTTCTTAAAAGATGTTCTCTGCTTTGAAATTCTGGAGATCAGCCTTTTGCCCAGCCAGTGATTTCCCCATCTTATAATTTCCGGAATTCCAAGGAGGAAGTGAGGTGTGGTGGGCTTTTTTGCAGCCCAGTTGGGCAGGTG